AAATGGGGGGCGGGATGGGATGTGGCAGAGAGGGAGCCAGAGAGTGTGAGAGAGAGACGGAGGAGGGGTCCATGATGTCTCTTTTTTTGTGCCCCTCACACCCCTCATCAAAAGAGCTACCCTGCCGGGTCAGCTCCAAGACGGGGTACAGATACAGATTACAGTACATGATACACAAGAGGGACGCCAGCGTAATCACAAACTTGTATTCCCGAGCCACCGGATCCCGCAGGCCATGGTTCACAAAAAGCCCCGGGCTGTGGATGCTGGTTTGGGGGAACACATACTGGTTTCGTTTCACAGCGGGCTTCTTTCTGTACTACAAGATGTGTTCATAGAGACATGGGCCGTAGAGTTGACGGTGAGAAACACCTCGGCACGACTATCATATCACTGCTATGGTTTCTGCTTAGCCGCGTTAAACCGGGGGGTTTATCGTAAGACGATGAAGCTCGGTGGAGTCGTCTCTTGGGCCAAGACAGGGCTGGAGAGGAATTTGGACAATAACAAAGGCTCAAGAGAGATCTGTCTCGGAAGAAGTTCCGGGCGTAGTGAGGGCATATCCACCTTGATATCTCTACGTACGCTGCCACATCCACTTTGAGAGGGCGCGGCTGTGCTCTCCAAGGTACATACAGAGTGAAAAGGGTCCGTCGCTGGTACACGGGATCTTGGTTGACTGGGGTCTTCCGATGCCCACTCGCTTGGCTAGCGAAGAGTTCAAATCAGATGATTTTGGTGAAGCAGGCGGGTATAGACAGGAGGCATACATTAGTAGTACGTTCATTTGTCCCATCTTTCATTCGATGCCGATCAAAGTAATGTGTCATGGCCAAAAAAACATGAGACGAAGAGAGTCCCATCGGCCTTTGGTTAGGGTCTACCGTCTATCAAAAAGTCAGGTCAAGCCAACAAACATGCAGACACCCCCAACTGTCCCCGCTTCGTGAGAGCCGGCCGCTGTGGTGGAGCAAAATATGGAGACTGAGAGAAGTGAACTGTGTGTGTGTGTGAGAGAGAGAGAGAGAGAGAGAGAGAGAGAGGGAAAAGCTGGGATTGATCCAGATGACAGGGTTCCAGAAAGATGCCAATTGACGAATCACATTTGGGGACGGCGTCTATGGTGAGCGCTAAGAGGCTCAGAGCTAGCTCTGTCAGGTTGGGCAAGAGACGTTTGGCTTTTTCTTTGGTAGCAGCACCAGTAGCAGCACCCGTTTTGTTCTACTCTGCAGTAGCTTGTGAGACTTTCCCAGGGAGAGACCATGAAGGCATTCGGTGGAACATCACCTGTCTTCAGCCAAGTCGATATGGAGGTGGTAGATGGTGATGAGTGGCTTTGGAGGTGAGGTAGATGAGATGAGTGACACGGCGAGTGAGCGAGTGAGTGAGAGTAACCGATGTGAGTGAGAATGAGCGAGTGAGGTGTAAAGTCATTGGTGAGAGGAAGGAGTGAATGATGTCGTTGGCGCCTTCCACGGTGCTTCCAGATTGATTCGGGAAGGAAACCACGGGCGATTCGCTGACTGACACGACCCCTTGCGGCAAGCTGCAAGCTGCACGCCGCCAACCTCCTCTTTGGCATTTGCTCCTCTTCTTCTTCTTGATGGCTCCCCATGCTCCGTGGAGTACCAAGCGGCAGCAGCAACAAGCTACGAATACAAGCTACAAGTTACAAGTTACGACAAGTCATCCATGACAAGAGAGAGAGTTGGCCCGCGGCAATCTAGCCGTTGCTCGACCTCTGCGCGCATGACCCTATCTGCCTCTGCTTTTCTCACCTGCATTGACAGATCGCGGTTGCGAACGGCCAGGTACCGCAGTACCTACCTTTCTCTCACTCCCAGTTCTCGGCCTTTACGCATGCGTAGTTACCAATTGGCTCACAAGATCCAAGGTAGAGGCACAAACACCTGAGATATCAGGATGAGTTACTGAGAGAGACACACACATACGCATACACACACACACACACACACACACACACACGAAGAGAGAGTGAGGAAGAAAGAGAAAGAGAGCCGGCAAAGATGGACGAGGGGTGCGGAAAGCAGAAGGAAAAAAAAAGGCCAATGCATGTCAAGAGAGAGTACCCTCCCTGCCTTTTGGATCGAGGTCTCGCCGGACTTGGTTTCCTGATTTCCCTTGGATTACCTTCCAGGTTCATCAAAGCAACACCGTCGAGCGGCACTGCCAGCTCATCATTGCATGGTGTGGTCTGCGTCCCAAGGGCCTGCGCTTGCTTTGGCCCGGCCTAGTTGCAACTTGTGCGTTTTCGCGCGCGCCCGCTTGCACCAGCCAGCCGTTGCGCTGCGTCTGCCTGCCTGCCTACCTGCTGCTGCTGCTGCTGCTTGTTGTTATTGCTTGCTGCTACTTGTAAATTACTTGTTGCTGCTGCGAAGGTATCCGTACTGTTGCACCGACACCCACATCACCAACCCATGTCCAAGGTATCCGTACCCGTCATGTCATGCCAACGGTACGTACTGATGCTCTCTTGTTGCTCTTTCGCACAACGAAAAGGTACTTGGGATACGTACTGATCTTACGCGACTGCACAAGTACCCATGTACTTTCGTCTCCTCCTCTCCACCACGTCGTCGTTCTCCTCCTCCGACGACAACCAACAACGTACGAACTGGAGACGATGGGGAACATCGACATCGACGCCGACGACGACTGCAGCAGCTTGTCCATCACCGCTCACCTCGCACGGCGGATACTCGACTGCCAGCGAGGTCACGCTCGTCTCGTTCCCCCACGCCCACAACGCTGCCAGTGACTACAGAACAACTGCACAACACAGAATGCATAGAATCAACCACCCTAACGTCTTCCTCGAATTCGACGCTCCGACAGTCTCCTGTCCCCTCCCTTCGAGATACTGTAACTGACCTTACCTGACCTCACCACGCATTCACGGCCTTTTCAATGCATCATAGGTACTCACCGTCCTCACACCCCTCTTGGTGGTGTCGCCGTCGTTGTCCGTTTTCGGCCATCTAACGGTCTGCATTCGCGTGGCTTTATTTTTTTTTTCCTCCCTCCCCCTCTTCACCTTTTGCCCCTCCACACTCGCCTCCATCATCGCTTTGGTCATTAAACTTTTGCCTCACCTTACAGCAGAAGGGAGGGTCCTTTTTCGACCTAGGCAAACTGCGGCGTCCACTGTAACTCTCGCAATATACCCAGAGAGAGGGGAAGTGGACAGATGGACATGCTTCTTGCATATGGAAAACCGAGATATAATTTGCCCGCGGAGCCGATTCCAGCGCACCCCCTCCCTATCGATCCCATGCTGCTCATCCCACTTCGACTTGAGAAAGCAACATTGGCTTCTCAAAGCCAGAGAGGGGAAAGCTATTCCATGTTGATGGATCTCGCCGCCCCCGTCGAACCCACTCCCAAAGCCATCTCTCGGCGCTCAGAGTGTTCATGCACGTCGTCTGCTACCCTCTTAGCTCACGGCCACAAGACTTGAGAGATGACCTCTTCACCGACCTTGCAATCCTGTCCGCGGGGGACGATGCCGCCTGCCGGGGGCCCTTGAACCTCGAACGGAGACGCGCCGTTCGGTCACTAGGTGCCACCGACTTCACCTTATTCCCTGGCTGGCGAGCAGCCGTCGACCCCTATCATCCATGGGATTTGAAAATCAGTAATAGCAGAACCCTGGGAGTTGCAGCCGCCGTAGCATAAACACCTTGAAAGATCCAGCGTCTCGCCGCCGACTGCCGCTCGCTCTCGTCTATTCTGCGTCGCTCATCTCTCCGGGGATCTCTATTTTGGTCGGCACCCTGGCTCGCACTCTGGGCCAACGAACGGCTGGTAGCCTAGCAAGCGCTGGTTTGCCGCTCTAGAGCGGTACCCTGTTCCGTCACCGCAACGAGTCCAGTCTGTATCTGTACCGGAGTATAGCTACATTCGTGCTCGGAGGGTTTCTCCATTTTCTCTGCCACTGATTCGCTGCGCAGTTGGAGAAGGATTTCGATTTTGGCCGTCTCTGACTGGATACAATATTGCTAGCCTACGAGACGACTCTGGCCGACAGGTGGTTTTGACTTTGATGATGCCGTGCGAATCGCCCGCCATCGCTGCACATCATTGGGAGCCACCGATGATCCCAAACGAGGGCCCCGGCGCCTGGCGCTGTTCTCACCCTGTCCCAGCTAGCATCGAAGCGCACGGCCAGTCTTTGCCTGACATGGCACAGACGAACTTGGGGCTGGCTGCCAATTCTTCGACTTCTAGGTTCATCGTCCTTCTCTCTTGGTATCACAATGTCACCTTCCAAGTTGCCGGAGACGCTCTCCTCTTCTTCATCGTTCCAATCCCCCAACCTCGGGTCCCGCAACACAAGCGAGCAGCAAGCAGCAAGCAGACAGGATGGATGGCATGGTGGATTCGATCTCGACTTTTGGTTTGGGGAGGCCCCTTCTGCTCAACTCCGAGTCCGAACCCACCACATGCGTCGTGCTGCCCCCGCCGCAGTCAATACATGCACGCAAGCCTAAAGTAGCAAGCAAATGTGCATGGCCTCATACATACATACATGACGATGGATGGCATATCTCAACAACAAATTGGCGCTCGGCCTGTGACAAAACAATCAACAATGAGCGGTGGAAAACATTTGGCAATACTGGCAACAATGACAATAACACCAACGGTACCATGGAGCCGACAAAGACCGCACGATTGACAGGTTGCTGAGGAATTGTCCACAAGTGCCTACCGGCCCTTTACTCGATAGTTGATTACAGGTGCAGTAGTCGCCGCTAACACGAACAATTTGGGGCATCGAATTCTCATCAGTCATCCTTTGTCTGTCTTTCTTCCCTCCCACCCTCCGTGGTCGCGGTCACTGGACTGGATAGGGCCCTTTACGCCCTACTGGGCACATCCCTCTCTGGAGGAGCCAGAAAAGCAAATAAGCATGCTCTGGCGTTTTGACTCGCCGCCAGCCCGAAACATTTCAATCAAAGGCCATGGAAGCCCGGGCTCGGGACCAGCGTATCCCGCATGTCAAGTTAACTCATCGACGAGAGTTACTTGGCAGATTCTTCGATCAAGTAAAAGCAACGTACCGGACTTCTTGTGCGCTGCCGGAGGAGAACCAGCTCGCCTCGCCAGATTGGGGTCCTACATGTTCGTATGTTCCATTTCGCCACCGGCTTTGCAGATTTGCAGCCCTCGTCAGTCTTTGACTCTGTTATTTTTTTTTCCCCTCTCAGTCTTTGCGTCTCACAATTCGCCCTCGACATTTCTGCTGTAGCCCTAGAGAAGCTAAAGCAGCCCGCTATGCGACCCGGCGGGCCACATGGTCGGAGAGACTTCGTCCAAAAGTTTCGACCATGTACGCATGTACCAGACGCGCGCGCCTTTGCTTGTGACGATGATGTCGTGGGCAAACCACAAGCTGGGCCCAAAACAGAATAAAGTGTAAGTCGGTCGATGTTCGGCGGCACGACCGGCGGCAGCACAAATTGCATTTGGAAAAGTAGAAGTGCCCTAGAAGCAGAAGCTTGAACGGGACCGTCAAGCGCCACGAGCAGCGACAAGCTCACAAGCATCTGAAGACTGAAGCACGTCGAACCTTGCGGTCAAGTCCCGTACGGGGCAACGTTATCGAGATACCTCGTCGATTCTCCAGTCCAGGCCTCGATACTCGTCTGCTACAGGCCGGATACTCCAACGAACGGCCGGGCCTCGAGATGAGCGACCAGGGGACCGGGCCAGCAAGACTGGAGAGAGTGAGAGACTAACAGACGAGCAGGGGACCTTTCTCTCAAGTCTCAGCATTCGAGAGACAGATCTTCGTCGGCCCATCCCTGGCCCTGGGGCCCTTGCCCAGCGATGATGCTGGTACCCCCCTCCCCCCTCTTCAGTGTGTCGTTGTGGAGTTGTCTAGTCTCCAGCGGTTTTTATCAACTGGCAACGAGGCGAGCCAACGCAGCAAAGCATGGGTCACACTCTTTCGAGAGCCGCATCGCCGCTTGCATCTCGGACCAAAAGAATTAAGAGAGAGGGAGAGAAAAAAAGAAGAAGGGGACATTGAGAGAAGCACCCCCATTGTCATTGTGCACTTCTTTCCGCAGTGCCCGTTTTTCTCTCTTGCTCTCCCCCCTGTCGATTCGGCGTCTGGCTTTCCATGTTCACGTCCCTGCCCAGACTCCAGAGACGCAGACAGACCGAAGAGACGTACAGAAACGCCCTGTCGCTTGCTTGTTGACCTTTTCCTCGTTCGTCTGTCGTCTCCTCCTCCAAGAGTCCAAGGTACTCCGTACACAGTTCCATTCCCCTCTTTCTCGCCTGGTCCCTCATTTCCTTTTCCTGCCGCTGCCGTTGCCGCCGAAGCTCTCCCAATACCACATACTGCTACGGATAGTGTCGATATTATGTCCATGTACCTTTACCAAGTTGATGCTGGACCTGGACTTGGACTTGGACTTGTTGTTGCTTGACCACCACCCCCTCCACCCCTCCCCCCCTTGCCCCCGCACTAGTTCGTTGAAAAGCCCAGAAGCACGAGAGAAAAAAAGAGAAGGCACCTCTTTTTTTTTCTGCAATAAAGCAGACACATGTCTCTCCGTTCATGGCTCAGATGCTTTCCCGCAACCCGAGAAACGGAAGCCCTGGATACGTAGCTTAACTTACAACATCACCCACCCACACCACCACCTCAATACTCCGTACACGCACACACGCACAACACACACACTCACAAGTAACAACACATCAACACCCCTTCCACCGACTTTCTTCATCTTGTCCCCCCATACCTCTTCAGGCTTTACTTCTCCAACCTAGGCACAACGAAAACGACGAGAAACTTGACCGATCCCAGCTTCCCTTCTCCTACCTTACATCTCGTTGAACAACTCATCCCATACATACTCACCTACCCTCGACCACGCCCCGGATTTCTGCCCTACGCCTTACATACGACCCTCCCAGCACAGTATTTGGCGCGTGGTGCGTAGAGTGCCTGCCAGCCCAGCCCAGCCCAGCCCATCCCCATTCCCGACCACAGATCTCTCTGCTCGCCTCACCGTTGGGCTCGATTGCATCTCACGGCGTCCGCATCTTTGGTCCCCTTGTCTGGATAGGAATCTACCCTCGTCGCTTTCCTTCACTTTTTCGTCTTTCTTGCTCTGAGACAACCTCTCTCCCCTGCTACGGCCTGTCCATCTCCCCGCCTAGTTCTGGATCTGGACCTGCATCTCCGAACCACCACCGCGCCTCTTAATCAACCCATTGGGAATAACCGTCAACATGGGAGGCTTCTACATGCAGTACCTCGAGAGTAAGTCATCAATTGAGTTTTATAGATGGATTGTTGGAGCCCAATGCTTCCCTGAACCTCGTCATCGCCTTTGTCTGTATAAGTGGGGCCGCCCATGATGACCTGGGGAACTGGGTCAGATCGTGTGCCCTACCCCTGCATTCTGTCAACGGCGGGAATGACATGCGTCTCCCGGTTCCTGGTGATTCTTAACGAGTCGGGACGTGGCAATTTGTTCGAGAATCAACGTCAGCTTCTCGCTGCGGCTCTCTTCAGGAACGGCATGCAGGGGTGAAAGGCTGTGGGATCGGATTGGGCTCGAATACAGATGGAATTACGTCGTTGAGAGGCGTGTGCTGTCTTGTTCCCCCTCAGCTGCGCCAGAAACTTTGACTCTGGATGACTTGCAGAAGATCTGGGGCTAACCGGTCCAATCTAGGTCTTTGCCGGCGACGAGGATGGAACGACCCTTCCTACGAGTGTTACCGCGATCACAGCGGCTACACCTGCTTGGTTCTAGTCAACGGACGGGAGTATCAGACGGATCTCGCGTATCAATCCGACTCGCTGGCCCAGGAGAACGCCGCCATGCGTGCCTTCATGGTGTGCCGCAACTTCTCCGTCAACGGCGGCATGCTGGCCCGCAATGGCATCGTTCAGGGTCTTCCGGCCACTGAGCCTGCTCGCCGCTCCAAGAAGAGCCGCCACACTTCATCCAGTCACAGCTCGCGAGACAGCCACCGTCGATCAGGCCACCATTCAAGCAGCAGCTCTACGGCCTCTTTCGACTAAGGATAGGCAGGCGAGCCCTGGATTCCTGTCTTGCGTGGCGACAGGGATCCAAGACGACAACTACGAGGTGGAACAGCTCCGCAGTTGGATGAGCTTATGAAAGAAGACGACACCTCCGGACGGCTGATCTGGGAGGTCACAGGGTCAAAGAGAGACATGGGGAAAAAAAACAAAACGGGCAAAAAGCGACGCATACTTTTCCACCTGCGACGACTCCTAACGACTTAATGAACTAGAATCATGGTTTCCGCGCGGCACATCTGATTTCTGCACTTCATAATTATTCCGGCCGGTCTCCTTCGAATTTCGAACAAAACTCGTTATTTTCCTCTCGTCACCTATTTTCGAATTCGGCTTTTTCTTTACTTTCAAGACTTTTTGATGACCAGGCGCTTGGCTGGGATTGTACAGTACCAGTCAAGGGCTGTCCTTCATTTTCTCGAACGGATCAACAACCGGAGGCGACTCTGGCCGACCGACCATCTTTCCTTCTCGACAATTCTTTCTTGCATTATGCATTTTGTTTCCTCTTATTCGGGATCTTCTCTCGAATAGGCTCGAACTACTTTCATTCTTGGTTGCTTGCTCGAAAATGACGACTTTCCACACAGATTGGAACAAATGATGACGACGGGGCGGTTAGACTCACATGAGCTTGAGACGTGAACTCGGCATTTTGATTTTGATTTTCCGCTCTTGTTTTCGAGACAATTTACGGGGGTCACATATGGGGTGTGAGGACGACTGAAGACGGCCAGAAGAGCCATCCCCTTTACGCATGGCCTCAAAAGCGAAGCATCCGTTTTTTTTCTTCTTCTGCACCATCGACGAAGTCGAGGGTGTCTGGGAGAGGTTCAGCATCTCGAATTCTGACTTATTTTGGCTCCTTTACAAGGGGTTCATTTACGATTGTTCCGCTTTTCGTTCGACTTTGGTGGGATTTGATGAGATTGGACGAGAGCTTGCTTGTCAGACAGAGGGCATGATGGACACGATGAGAAAGCGACGGAGCCAAAGATGACGTGACGAGAGACGTTTGAAGGCAAACGAGAATGATGAGATTCTGGGGGGGACGAAATAGTAGAGAGAGGGGGACGATGGATTTTATCATCCTACGCCTTTTTCTTTTTTTTATATGCGACGCCTCTGCGACGCTCATGATGATGATAACGACAACTTTTAACGACAAAGACTTTCATGGTATGAATGGCAAGAACAAGACGATCCAAACAGAAATAAAAAAAACAAAACGCTTTCAAGTTCGTTATTTTGCAGAAAAGACCATTTGAGGCTTCACTCAGCGTGACTATGGGAGGTGATGGGAGAGCGAGCCATCTATGTTGGACGTACGACCGTGGACCCCAAATTTCGTAACCTCAAACTTGGGTGAGGTTGTGACGTTAAGGTTGAGGTTGATAGGGTATCGCACCGGAGCGCGCCAAAGTTTGCCGGAGGAGTAGTGCCGGAGGGTGTAGCGAGGGCGGGGGCGGAAGGGAGCGTACGGCAGTGTTGGTGGTGGGAAGCTTCCCGGAGCCGAGGAGTCGGAAAGTGGATGATTGTCTCGGAGGCCCTGGTCAGAATTGTCTAGGCGGCCGGTAGGTGCATGTGAAGCGCCCGCCATTCGGCGACTGTGTCTCTATATATATGTGTGTAGTAAGGTAAGGTAAGGTACATGTTCTCTTACGTGTCCAACGATACATGCCACGCCCCCGACGAGAAGGGAGCCGCGAAGTTTCTAGGCCTCTGACATGCGGGTTTGCTTCTCTTCAGCTGTAGACTACGTATCGTAGGTAGTCTAAGGATGTCGTCCAGATCATCCTTGTTCCTATTCTGGATTGCATCTCTGCCTTACCCAATACTGTATTTTACTATTTCTTCCGCTTTCGCTGTTCTCTGGAGCGGAAGTGTATTTCACTATGTCCCGCCCATGAGAACTCCTCGGTGCCTCTTATGGTAAGGTACTTTTAGACAGCATCCTCGGTACGCATAAACTATGCGCAAACGATGTCGAGTCTGCTTGTCTCAATCGTCCTTCCACATGACTTCAAAGCGGAAATACAAATCATGGCATCTTTGCGCAGAAACCGCGCAGAAACCGCGCAGAAACCGCGCAGAAACCGCGCAGAGACGCGGAGAAGAAATGCCTGGCAACAAAATTCAGATGATCTGCTGTTTGTCTTGGTCGTTGAAAGTTTAGAGTGTATCCGTAGGATGGGACGGACGGAGCGGGAGTCCGTGTGGCGTGATGCGGATCTCGGCCGGGGTTTATTCGGATCTTACCACGGAAGGGTGGGGAGGACCGGGCTACCCCTTCCAGAATCGAGAACTGACACGAAGAGACCCCCAAGACAGGTGAGGTGAGGTCAATGGAAGGCTCGAAATAGGGAGGGAAAACAAAAACTGAACTATCCGCATCTGCCCGCTGCCTACCTGTAGGCTGTAGACAAGGCCAATTGCAAGCTGACAGGCTGAGCAGCAGCAGCGTCAGAAGCCAAATGGCAAAAATGGCCACGGCCGAGATTCGACGCCGGGCGGTCCCGGGATGTGGATTGTGGGTTTTCTTCTCTCTTGACTCTGGCATGTCACGTTGGTGCTGTGACCCCCACTTTTCGGCATGTTCAAGCGTTCTGGAACTGGAAGTGCCCATGGCGCCCCCTAGAGGCTTGGGATGATGGATCGTGGGCCGGACGCGGTTGTTTGAGAGGAGAGGAGGTGAACACGTACGTCACGTCGCATGTTGAGCGATTTGAGGATCCTCCCCGCCGGGCCTATGGTACGAAGGCATTCCCCTTCTCAAGGTCCCAAGGGTGGCTCAATTGACCATTTTCTTGGGAATCGATGTGGCTTTGCACAGAGGGGCGACTTCCCTTTTACTCCTCCACCCCAACTTTCCTGGTCACGAGATGGGGATTTCTGCCGCGGCATTGGATCTGTGGCATAAGGTGGGATGAGCGTCCCCACTAGCTGAGGCGTCAAGGCGAAATCTGTCCTGACTTGGCCATGATCATTGTTAGCTGTTGTAGGCTTGCAGCGCAATGTGGGCGAGGTGCTGCTTTCTCGAAAGCGCCGAGACATGCTCATCAGCCGAAGAGGAAAAAAGATGCCAAGGGAGAGAGATATGTAAGTTTGAAGGCTTGATAGCTCGAAGGAAGGGATGCAACGCTGGCATTCGTCGTAATTGCGGCGCGGACTCGTAAACACAACACGAGCCTGCAGCTGAAGGACGCTCGTGTCCCGGGCGTGGGCGTCCTCTTCTCTCCTCACCAAGACTTGATCTTCCGGGTTCCCCAGCATTTGTTCCCGTGATGCTGACGGACGACGGGCAGAGATGCACGCAGCACATCCGGGGGACAAGAGGAGGCAAAAGTCGCGAGTTTAGTACGGGCCCGCCGGTCAGCTGTCTTCGGATGTGTAGGGAGAGCCCTTGCAGTCAAGGTTTTGAGCGAGCCAGACTCTAGCGACAGTGGCCTGCGACATGTCCAGTTGCGGACTTAGGACGGGCGGTCCAGTATCGGATTGCGGCGTACGACGGTCTACCGTTTCGACGTCCCTCCTAGTAATGGCAAAGATGCTGTGCCCCGTCGATTGGCTTCAACTTTGAGTACTGCGAGCGGCAGCGACAAGCAAGGGAGAGCGGAGACAGGCATGAGCAAATTCGTCAATCTCGGCAGGGGAAATTGGGGGTAAGGCTGGGTTGACGAGGCCTCGCTGGAACTCGAACATGTTTGGCGGGTTGAGGTGATATGGCTGGGTGCCAATGTGCTATGCGCCAGGAGTTATGTTGCCATTGGGGCTGACGAGTCGCCGCAATCTCGAACTGGAACGTCGAGTCCTCAAAGTCCCCATCGTTCAGTTACACCTCCACTTTTCCCTCTGTGTTGCGCCCATTGAGAACCTGGGAAAGGCTCGGAGGGCCGAGTAGTGCGTCTGCCATTGCCGAACGTGTTGTGAACTTGTGATGGTGTATCCCCACACACGGATCGCCGGGAGGGTAGGTATGTTTGCGTCCTTGTACGGAGTATCTGTATGCGTGTATGCGTGTATGCGTATGTAGCCTCTCAGGCTGTGCTCATGCTTTCGTACGGATGGATTTTTGAGTTTGGGTACTGATGCTTTCCGTAGTGTATCCGTACAGATAGAGTAAGGTAATAGAGGACGGGAGCGAAAGTCGAAAAGCTGGAGAAAGTGATGGGTGGCAGCCCCTGACAGCTGGGCCTTGCCTGAGCTTGGGGCTGGGCTGGGCGTTGCGGCGTAGCGTCGTTGCATGGTCCTTTCCGTCCAGGACAGTGGACTTGTTCCTTTTCCCTCCTCTCGCCTCGAAGCCCCACTCTTGTAGACGGGATGGGATTGGATGATGAGATCACATGGGGGCACTACGCACGGGGAGAGGAGGGAGGTCATTGGATGGGATTCCGCATTGGCCATTTGAACGGTACGTCTTCCGGTATACGTACCTCGAAATTCGATGAACCAGGAAAGAACAGTGAATAGCGTCCTACCTACCTACCTTTCTTAATATCAACGACCTCACATCTCCCAAGGCGCAATCAGCTACAAGCAATATTTCCGTATGTTAAGTTTATGATGGGAACGTACAAGAATCCAAGTGCTAGCTATCGTTCATCCAAGGTAGGGCAACGTGGAGTGGTGGATGACTCTGATTGGGATATAAAAAGTCTAGAACAATGTACCAGAAATGCCAGACACTTCGCAACCCAGCATGTTGGTGCTAATCCCGCCCGTTAGTGTACCCGTTCGAGCCCCCCATTCCGCCCCTGGGCCCCTTCTTCCCCCCCCTCTCTCCCCCTTTGGGTGCCCTGTTCTTCTTGCCGTGCTGCCCCCAATTGATTGCCCATCACAGGCAGCCCAGCAAAGTACTTTACCATAGAAAAAGCAGCGACGAGTGACTTCAAAGTTGCAATTGACCGGGACCTTGGGGGGTACAGATGTCGTGTCATTTTTGAAGGTGCCTTCTCCCTCACCACCCTGCGCCTCTTTTCGCGTCTCTCCTTCTCTTTCTGCCTTCCCATCTGTGACCACTGACCAACCGTGGAACCTCTGACCTCCCTTTTTTTCCCCCCCCCATCCCAACTTTCTGGCCTCCCTTCGTGGCTTCCTTCACTGCACTCGCTCAACCTCTTGCCTTTTGCAACTTTCTCCCCCAAAAGGCCTTCTTCCACTTTCCCATCTTCGGATCTTCTGTCTACAAGCGGGACTCCATTGTATACCCTTCTGGAGAAAAGACACGCCTGTCTCTTTCTCTCTTTTAACAACCTTCTAATCTTTTCTGGAACCCATCGAGCTACCCCTTTGGTCACCAAATATCCCCTCCGAAAAAGCGCAGCTTCCCCTTGTCGCCAAATCCAGTCACACCGACCAGGCTAAGAGAACCTCTTCCCTCTTTCCACTGTTCACACACTCGTTTACACACGCACCTCCCCACGGAAGCTACCACGTCTTCCATTCTCTGCGTCGCTCAACGAAATCGAACCATCACATAACCCCTCAACCACAATACCATCAATATGAAGGGTAAGCACGAACAGCTACATGCGCTTCCGCCTGCCCCAATTCCAGCCTTGCCCAGTGATCTACTGTACTCGAGGCTGGCAACAGGCGCATTGTGAGGTCGGCAGTGATGCAGACTTGCTAATTTGTTCCAACAGCCATTATTCTCGTCGGCGGCTTTGGCACTCGTCTTCGCCCTCTGGTACGTCCATTTCTCTCCCTAGCTTGAAGACACAGCAGCAGCTGCAGCAACAATAGATCTCTGCCAGCTGCTGCTCTACCTTCCACGCCCTGATCGAACATGTTGCTGACCTGGTTATTCCAATGCGCAGACCCTCACCCTCCCCAAGCCCCTGGTCGAGTTCGCCAATAAGCCCATGATTGAGCACCAGATCGAGGCTCTTGCTGCTGCTGGTGTCACCGATGTTGTCCTCGCTGTCAACTACCGCCCTGAGGTTATGGAGAAGCACTTGGCTGAGGTGGGTCTTTCCCAGAGCTTCCCCTCTACAGCTATTACCGACGGGGGAACATAAATACTGACTTCATGCCTCAACAGTACGAGAAGCGCTTCGGCCTGAACATTACCTTCTCCGTCGAGACCGAGCCCCTCGATACCGCTGGTCCTTTGAAGCTGGCCGAGAGCATTCTTGCCAAGGATGATACCCCCTTCTTCGTCTTGAACTCGGATGTCATCTGCGACTTCCCCTTCAAGGACCTGGCCGAGTTCCACAAGAACCACGGCGATGAGGGCACCATTGTTGTCACCAAGGTCGAGGAGCCTAGCAAGTACGGTGTCGTTGTCCACAAGCCTAATCACCCCACCAAGATCGACCGTTTTGTCGAGAAGCCCGTGGAGTTCGTTGGCAACCGCATCAACGCCGGCATGTACATCCTCAACACAAGCGTTCTCAAGCGCATTGAGCTTCGCCCCACCTCGATCGAGAAGGAGACCTTCCCCGCCATCGTCAAGGATGGTCAACTGCACAGCTTCGATCTTCCCGGCTTCTGGATGGACGTTGGTCAGCCCAAGGACTTCCTTACCGGTACCTGCCTGTACCTCACCTCCCTCACTAAGCAGGGTTCCAAGGAGCTTGCCTCCCCTTCAGAGCCTTACGTCCACGGCGGCAACGTTCTGATTGACCCCACTGCCAAGATTGGCAAGCACTGCAAGATTGGACCCAACGTGACGGTCGGCCCCAACGTCGTCATTGGCGACGGCTGCCGTCTTCAGCGCTGTGTCCTGCTGCCCGGTTCCAAGGTCAAGGACCATGCGTGGGTTAAGAGCACCATTGTCGGCTGGAACAGCACTGTTGGCAAGTGGGCTCGTCTTGAGAACGTCACTGTCCTCGGCGACGACGTGACTATTGGTGACGAGATCTACGTCAACGGTGGCAGCATTCTCCCTCATAAGAGCATCAAGGCCAATGTCGACATCCCCGCCATCATCATGTAAAACCAAACCAAACAACCCACAAAACACTATACCCGGGCCTGGACGAACACTCTGAGGGTTCGCACTCTTCACACTTCTTGTCTGCACGCCTGTTCTTATCGACTTTCTAATTCCAAGTTGCGATACGATTCACCACTCCACTCATGAGTCTTCAAACTTCAAGAAACGGGGGGCGGAAACCAAACACTACATTTTTGGCTGGCGTCGGCAGGGGGAATCATTTGGCGAGCACAGAAAAGCACTTGGCTTTGCGATGTTTAACTTTTTTTTTTTTTTTGCGTTTGGGAAAGATGATGGTCCCAATTTCGTTACGAAATGCAGACAGACGGTGTCGAGGGCTGTTTCCCCAGCTTGGAGGATATCTCCCTCGATGTGCCGTGAACATGGAAGACTCCCAACCGTGGAGTCATCTGTGAGACAGATGACAATAAAGATGATACCTGTGAATTTGATGCTCCGAAAGTGCTCCGTGATAGTGACAATCTATCGTGTTGCTCATGCGCATGTCATGCGAGTATCTCATGATGTGGTGTGGGGGGAAGGAGGGGTGGAGGGATAGATGACGGATCACATTTGCGCCTTCCCTGTGTGGGCGGGAGAGTGGGTGCATCAAGCAAGGCAAGAAACTGACTTGATAGGTATCCTGTCTAAACGAAAACACCTTTCCCAATATCAAACCACCATCCAAAAATAGGCTTCTTTATCTTTTCTGTATACCATTTACTCCAAAATAAAACCCCCTCCAAAATCACATGTTGCTACACTTCTATTCCGCATTATCACGCACCCATCCCCTCGACATCTCAACAGCCTGCTCCCACTTCTTGAACATCTTTTGACTCGTCTCCTTGTCGAGCGCGGGCGTAAAGATCTTGCGCCCCGTCTGGTTGACGTGCTTGAGGTCCTCGAGCTCGTCCCAGACGCCCAACGCGAGGCCGGCGGCGATGGCGGCGCCGAGGGCCGTCGTCTCGCGCATGGCGGGGCGGTCGACGCGGATGCCGCTGATGTCTGCCTGGGACTGCATGCAGAGGTCCGAGTTGGAGAGGCCGCCGTCGACGGCGAGATTCTCGAGGGCGTGGCCCGAGTCCTTGGCCATGGCGTCGAGGATGGCTTTTGTCTGGTAGCATGTCGCTTCGAGGGTCGCGCGGGCGATGTGGCCTTTTTGGGTGTGGGCTGTGATGCCGACTGTTTTTGGCATGTTAGTCATGTGAGGTGAGTGAGTTTGACCGAGAGATGATGACTTACACAGAGTTCCCTTGGCGTCGTCGATCCAGTACGGCGCAAAGAGGCCGCTAAATGCTGTTACGAAGACGACGCCGCCGTTATCCGGAACCGTCTCGGCCAGCTCCGAGATGCGAGACGAGTCCTCGACGAAAGACAGGTTCTTGACGAGGAACTTGACGCCCGAGCCCGCGACCGCGATGCTGCCCTCGAGGGCGTACACGGGCTTCCTGCCTTTGCCGAAATCGTACGCGACGGTGGCCAGGAGGCCCGACTTGGATATGACGGGCTCCTCGCCGACGTTGTACAACAGGAAGCAGCCCGTGCCGTAAGTGTTCTTCGCCTGGCCCGGGGAGAAGCCGCACTGACCGACGAGGGCGGAGGATTGGTCGCCCAGGCAGCCTGCGATGGGCACACCCTTGAGGACACCGCGAGCAAAGGAGCCGAAGGCGGTCGGGTCGGAGGAGGGGACAATCTTGGGGAGGTGGATCTTGGTGCGGTCGATGCCGAAGAAGGAGAGGAGGGTGTCGTCGTATTTGAGGGTGCGGAGGTTCATGAACATTGTTCGGCTGGCGTTTGTCGAGTCGGTGACGTGGATCGCTGCATCGCCCTTGTCTGCGCCGCCGTTGAGGCGGTAGATGAGCCAGGAGTCGACGGTGCCGAAGGCGAGGTGGCCCGCGTCGTAGGCCTCGCGGATGGAGGGGACGTTGTCGAGCAGCCAGCGGAGCTTGACGGAGGAAGGGTAGGTGGACAGGGGCAGGCCGCAGATGTCCTGGAGGGCGTCGGCGCCGGGGCGGGCACGGAGTTCGCGGACGAGGGAGGTGGTGCGGGTGTCGGGCCAGACGACGGCATGGTGGAGGGGTTCACCGGTACGAACGTCCCAGAGGACGGTGGTCTCGCGCTGGTTGGTGATGCCGACGCCGCGGATGTTGGCGGCGGAGTAGCCCTGTTCGGCGAACTGGGCCATCGCCTTTTCAACGCATTCTTCGACCGAGGAGAGGAGCTCGAGGGGGTCGTGCTCGTGCCAGCCCGAGTGCGGGTAGTGGTTCTCAAACTCGATCTGGTGGCTTGCCACGGGGTCGCCGAGGCCGTTGAAGATGAGGAAGCGCGTCGAGGTCGTGCCTTGGTCTATGCTGCCTACGAACCAGTGCTCCTTGAGTTCTTCTTGGGTCTCGGTGATGCCGGCTGGGAGGTGTTCGGCCGGGTCTGCGGCCACGCGCGGGCGTTTGGATTCTCTTGTCTCGGCCATTGTGTTGTTGGCGGTGCTGCTGTAGTGGTAGGTTGTTGGTAAGTCAAGAAGAGGAGAGAGGGGCAAGAGTGAAACAGAGAGAGAGGGAGGGAGAGAGGAAATACTAGGGATATCTTGAGGGAAAAGAGGACGGAAACGAAGGAGGGGCCGAGGAAAGAGAAGCAGAAGAAGCTAAAGACTAAGCAAGCTGGGGCTCTGGGGACTTCAATGGAGAACGGGGAGGGTCGGGGGGAGCACCGGGGGGTATCACGCGGAGAGAAGAAGCAAAGCCGACAACGCCCCTGGGGTTGTACGGGAATTGTTTCTGCGGGAACGCGAATAGCAAAGGGGGCCGTAAGAGCCGGCGTGGGTGGCGGGGCGGGACGGGGGGGAAGACGGGAACAAGTCGGGATCGTGAATTTCGCAATGGAGCACGAGGCGATGGGCAGTGAGGATATGTGTGTGTACAGGTATAGGTTGTGGCTCTTGTGTGTGGATGATGACTGACTGTCTAGCTAAATATGCCGTCCCTCGAGGAGGCTGGTCGATGGTGGTGGTGGTGGTGGTGGTAGTATCAAGGACGGCGGGAGACTGAGACTGAGACTTTGACTGAGACGAGGTATTACAGGGCTGTTCATCTCTTGAAGCTCTTACGTCTGCCAAAGCTGCGTCTACTCCAGCCGCACGAACACCGCCGCCGTTGGAATTAGTCTCAACCGTGTGTGCCGTGGCATTATTTCCCAGGGTCGTCTTTGTCGTCTGTGTGGACCTCCGCCGCTGCGACGACAAATTTCGGACGGACATGTGCTGCGGCGGCCCCAGCTTCAGCTTCGCGCCGGCGCTCGGCATGATGTCAGAAGCGGGCGTGGGGCGCTGATTGGAGGAAGAATTGAGGGGTTTGGGCGTCGCGCGAAGCTCCCGCTGCTGCGGCGGCATGCGACTGGGAGCAGCCGTTTTGCACGTGTATGTCTTGGTCTTGTCATTCTCACTAACCTCATCGACGCTCTCACTTGCCCGGCGGTCATGTATGCCACGCCTATGGGTTGTCCATTGTCTCCATGGCTTCGAGCTCGACTTCAAAGTCAAACCCGGGCTGGCACCGGAGACGACGGGACCCAGAAAGGGGGAAATCCTGGGGAGTGATTGGGGAGGTTTAAGGACGCGTGAGAGCATTAGGGGGATTCAGGGGGGAGTAATGAAGAGTTAGACTGGGTCTCTGTAAGTCGTAGATCGAGCTTGAGGGGGCTCGGGAATCGAAAGGATGTGCTGCCTGCATACGATTACAATGTGTGTAGCGAATAATACAGGCGAATCACGAATGTCTGTTGAAGGATGTCGGTCGTTTGTCTTCGCGAAACTTTTTTTGCGCCGCTGGCTTCGCGGGTGAAAATTCCGAGGTGCGTTTGATGGAGCCATGGGGCTCTCGGGTCTGTTCGGGGTTTGAGCACCGAAATTCTCCATTTTTGGGTGATGGGTTAATGGGGCTGCTGGGGTCTGGGGTCGAGAGATTGACGGTCCTTCACCGAGGTGAGGGTGGTGGGCGGAGTCTTACCGACGCTGGCTTGTGACTACTAACATTGTAGACTTCCAGGTTGGTTGTGACGGAACAGAGCGTTCTGTACTGGCAGTAAGCCATTTGCTTGTAATAACTTCTTGTTCATTTAGTTCTGTTGTGAAGGAGGAAAGATGGATGAGTCTAGCAACCTAGCTCAGGTGCCTCCATGAAAGACTGGCCAGAGTTTTCGAGATGTAGGCGGGTAACGATGCAAGGACCGTGGGTCTGTGTGCCGGGTTTCGTTGGTCTGCTCTAATGAAGTTTTACTCCTTGAGGTTAGCACAACTTACATTAGCTCAGAAGCTGAACCTGTCTTTTCATCCCGATTGATATCACTTCCAGAGTTGGGTTTGCGAGCTGATTCTCTATGGTAGAGGATACAGATGTTTCAAAGAATGGTAGAAGAGAATGCGAATGAATGCTTGGCGAGATTGTAGTAGTAGCGATGTGAGATGTGCGGTTCTCGCCTGATCCAATCTACACGTTAGATGTATTCCCGGTGATTCCGGGACCAATCGAGCAGTGCGTGGATGACCTCAAAGGTCAGACGTTTATACTTGCGCTGAGCAAACCATGAAGCATCTTGTACGAGACTGATGAGTCGTAGGTTTACTCTTTTGTGTGGGAGCTCACCCTGGCCGGTGAACTGGCCGTCTGACTAATGAAGCTAGCTGTTATGACGAGGGCCGAGTACGCTCTGCTGGAAATGCAAAGATTTAGAGGCCTCGGTTTGACCTTACACAACGTACTAAACAATTCTCAATGACAACTGGGAACGCACCTATTTTAGCAATTTGTGTTTCTGTGAGGCATGTTCTTCAGCATCAACCGCTTCCTCGACGACGACGTTGATTGCGCGAATTGTCTTTTAATTTCACAATTGTCTTTCCTCTTGAGCTCCACACGAACGAAATCTTGCGCACAGAGTCATCCAGGTACCGTTGAACGTTTGGAATGTTGCTGTGATGTAGATGACGAGATAAGTAGCTCGTTCATCCTCTCGAGGTAGGTTCTTACTCATCACTGCGTACTTCGTGGGTTTGAAGGGGCGGGGTGACGATTTGCCCAAGCTTCTTACTTATATCCTACTACTCGTCAGCGTTTCTTGTCATCGATCAAGGGT